TACCATACCACACTTCATAAGGAGTCTTAAACTCGATTCATGTGTGAGGTCCACGGTTGATCAGGAAGCACGCCATGTTTACTACTTCTGCCCAGAATCTTCTCTCTAGTCCAGCATTTCAGAGCATGCATCGTGCTCTCTCCAAAAATGTCTGGTTCATCCTTTCTGCAATGCCATTCTGCTTAGGTGTATCTCTAACAGTCCGATGACGGGCAATCCCTTCATCCTTGCAGAATTCGTTCAACTCAGAATTGCAAAACTCCAGACCATTGTCCGTTCGCAGCTTCTTGATCTTCTTTCCGGTCTGATTCTCCACCAATGTCTTCCACTGCTTGAACTTCGTGAAAGCCTCACTTTTCTGCTTCATCATGAAAATCCAAGTAAATCTCGAATAATCATCAATAATAGACAGAAAATACCTGCTGCTTCCAATGGATTCAACTCGTGAAGGACCCCAACAGTCGGAGTGGAGGTAATCCAATATCCCCTTTGTCCGGTGGATACCCTTCTTGGGAAACTTGCTGCGATGTAGCTTCCCAAGCACACAATGCTCGCAGAACTCCAAATTCTGCACCTTGTGCCCGCAAAGAATATCCCTCTTAGATAGACCTTGCATCCCCCGTTCACTCATATGCGCCAGTCTCATGTGCTAGACAGTGGTCATATCTTCCTAATGAACCTGAGACGATGCAACTGTAGCAGAACCAGACAACACATACCCTTATAATGCATACAAGGTCCCACGCTTCACACCCTTCAGCACCTTCCTTGAACCTTTGCAGACATACACAACTCCACATTGTCCTTTGAAGCTGAAACCCTTGCTGTCGAGTAGAATCAAGGAGATCAGGTTCTTTGTCATTCTTGGAACATGTCTAACATCATTCACGGTACAGAACGAACTATCATGTGCCCGAACCTTTATGGACCCGATTCCAATAACCTTGCAGACAGCTCCATTTGCCATGACCACGTTACCACCATCTATCTGCTCGTAGATTGTGAAGCAATCCTTGTTCGGAGACATATGGTATGAGGCTGCAGTATCCAGAAACCACGCATCACCCCGATGTGCCTTTTTATCTACAACCAAGGCGAGATCGTCTTCAAAAGTGTTCACTTCTGCCACGGCAACTGAACCTTGTTTCTTCTGTTGCCCTCTTTTTCTAGGATGGTTGTACTTCCAATGCCCCACTTCCTTACAACTGTGACAAGCATCACCTGGTTGTGGACCCGGACCCTTGGAATTCTTGTTCGAATTCCCTTTACCAAATTTCTTCTTTCCCTTTCCACATGTAATAGCCAAACCCGATGCCTCGCCACCTGTACCAGATTCGGATGCCTTATGCCTGATCTCTCTCGTATAAAGAGCAGACCTGACATCTTCCAACGACATGCTTTCTTTACCGGCAATAAAATAATCAACGAAATTCTCATATGAACTCGGCAAAGAAACCAGCAGGATTAGGGCAGCATCCTCGTCATCAACTTGAACATCTATATTACACAGATCCAGCAAAATAGAGTTAAGTTGTTCGAGATGTTCCCTCAAAGGCGTACCTTCTTGCATCCTCAAGCTGAACAACCGTTGCTTGAAATGCAGCTTGTTGTTTAGAGACTTCGTCATATACAGACTCTCCAGTTTTAACCACAAGCCCGCGACAGTCTTCTCAGCAGCGACTTCAATGATGACGTCATCAGACAACGATAGCATGATGGTCGAGTGGGCCTTCTCCTCCAGGGAATTCCACTCATCCTCATCGACCGCTGCCTTCTTCTGTTTCACAGACAGCGGCCCCCGCAACCCTTGCTGTTTCAATAAAGTCTGCATCTTGATCTGCCATATAGCGAAGCTGTTCTTCCCCGTGAACTTCTCAATCTTCATCTTGATCTTCAGAATCGAAACCCTAGCCTGATTTTCAGCCACGACACTGATACCACTTGTTATAAATGCGCTGCTAACTAATCTAGTCGTAGTGGCTGATAGTCCAATTCAAGTCACATCAACAAGACCATATTCTAACGAGGACCCTGATGACGAAGCCGGTGAAGAGAAATGAGGGAGCCATCACGCTGACCATCATGGATTTCGGTGGCTAGGAAAGGCACCATGTGGGTCACTAATTTTGGAAAGATGTTGGTCTTTCCCAACAAGATCGACCATTTCGTGTACTCTCTCTCGCTGAAGCAGCAACCCACCGTTGGTTGTGGTGGTGGGGAGAGTGCGGCTTTGTGGTGTGGGGGAAAGATTGGCGGAGATGGAGGACAAGCTTAGTGAAATTTAGGCCGGAGGAGGAGAAATGAGATTTGGTAGATAGGGATAAACATATTTTAATTGGATATTTTTGGTTAGATATTATATAAGTTTACCATTTGGGCTGGACGAGGAGGCGAGGAGCCGTTGTTTTGGGATTTTGGTTAATTTTGGAGGGAAGGGTAAAATCGTCAGTTTAGTATAATTTAGGGCGATAATTTCAAATATTTAGATGCCAAATATTCTTATAAAAAATGTCAAATAGTAGTTGGATTCTCTATCCTCCCAATACTATATGTATGTTCCCCATCTGAACTTACCGAATTGAAAAATGTTGCTTCCTGCGCAACTCAAGGAAGGACTTTATGGTCTTTCTCGGAGACTTGGACCAATCATTTTTATGCGCAATCCCTCTCTGGCTCTCTCGACCAGTGCTTCACTTCGCATCTTTTTCTATTTGGGTTCTGCTAGAGCCCAGAGTATATTATGGGCTTGGCCTACATTTGTTACTTGGCCCACTTCTCATTCAAAAACATTAAAAACAAATCCTAAAATTGAACTCATAATGATATTTAGAGCAAACATCAAAGGTTCATCCATAATCCAATTTTCAAAACATGAGGGTTTATCAATTATCACGTGGTTTCACTTTTATGTGAGTAACTATTAGTTATAGTTAGCAATAATACCTTATTTTGGAATGAATTTTGACGTAAAAGGTATTTTTGGTATGAACGTTCAAATAAAATAGTTTTATTAGAATTTTGAAATAATGGACAAATTGGACCCGAAATCCTTCAAAGCATCCAAGTAAATCTTGAAACAGTCGTTGAAGACAATCATTGTGGTGGTTGGAACGACATAGATGATAGTGCTGGGTATTAGATTGACAAGACTCTGATACCAATTGATGAGAGAGAGAATCTTGGAATTCGAGATTGATTAATAAAAAAATATGATTACGAGAATTAGGCAAAAAAAAAATTATCAAATGAGAAAGAATTGGGACTGTACCGATACTTGAGAATTTAGGGGGGATAAGAGAATTCATAAGAATTCAAGGGATGTAGAACAAAATTAGGGTTTAGAGAAAACAAATTAGAGAGTGTTAGAGAGGAAGAATAATGGGAGATTTGAGATAATGAATTTAGTAAATATTCTGTTTATTCTTCAATAATGTAACTGAATGAATACCGTACATGAATAATTAATAATATCAAATTGATTAAAAAGTATTCATCGAACACTGACTCGGCAGCCACCCAAATTTATTAGAAAATGCATCAAAACAATTAGTCTAGCAGCTACCCCTTGAAATAACTCCATATTCCAAGAATAGTTAATAACATCAACTTAGTAACTAATTGATCATTACCAGAGTAAGATATTAGTGATGTTGAGAAGAAGGAATGACTATTTGATGGCAAAAATATATGTTTTAGTGATGAAAATGAAGGGGTTGTTATTAGCGGGTATGAAGATGATGTTTAGTCGATGAATCAATTACGATGTCAGATAATTTTATGATATATATATATATTATTTTTGGTTCTTTTTTAAATAACTAAATAATTTATATTTTTTATGATATCAAATAAAAATGTTTCATTTTTTGTACTATTAAAATTAGGGTGTGCCTACGGTGACATGCATGTCATGGTGACTTGCACTTTCCGGTCGACCTCAGTTAGGATTAGGTCGACCTCATTTAGAATTCGGTCGACCTCATATAGGATCCGGTCGACCTCATTTAGGATTCGGTCGACCTCATATAGGATCAGGTCGACCTAATCTATTGTTTAAGTGTAAAAACAGTTCATGGTGCCTACTTTGGATATTCATATCATACAATTCGCTAGATGGAAATTGAAGACTAATGACTTGTTTTGAAGCTGGAGTGTCCCTCTACATATTGAAGTGATTGAGAGCTCGATAGGAAGTCCAGAAGATCATTTTTGAACCTCATCAAAAGGCTATGCCAAAACTGGGAAACTTCCTGGAAATGGCTAAGTCTGGAAACATGTTTGTGAAGCCTATTTTGGAGCTCAATTCGAGAAGCATGAATGCAAGTCGAGTCCAGGAGCCTCTACCACGTTAAATTAGGTATGTTTTTATACAAATTCAAGGCATTGGATGAAAGATTGGATATCTGTAAGGCTTCAAACAAAAGGGTCGAAGTTGCTACGAAGGCTGTTTTTCTGGCAGACTTCGAGCACAAGCAAGCGGCCGATGAGGATGAGTTAAAACTTACAAATTCGAACGTGTTTGACTAAGTTTGACAATTTAAGATTAAACTAGACACGAAAACCCTATATAGGATGACCAGTTAGGAGTTGAGCTTCGAGTTTTGAGATCGCTCGATCAATGATTATTACAATTGTTATAATTAATTATTATTTGAGCATTATTATATAATAACTATTTTTAGTAAAGTATATTTATTATTATATAGTAATATTTATTTTATTATTTTATGATAATATTTATAATTTTAAAATCTATTTTATAATTTTAAAATCTATTTTAAAATAATATAATTACTTACTTTGCACTTTATTTGCACCCCGCCACCCCCTACTTTTTCATCCAAACAACAATTTACCCCTCCACTTACACCCCCAGCAATTTGCATCCCCAGCAATTTGCCCCTCAACTTGCACCCTCCTGCAATTTGCATCCCATTGTTGCCAAACAGAGCGTTAAAGAAAGAGAAGCCGAGAAACATAAAGAAGGGATTCTTACGACGATGATGTCACATCCCTCGTGAGCCCTACAGTCACCCAAGGATCATCCTCCGCCGCCGTCAACGATCTCGATCTCCGGCGCCTCTTGAGTATGTAATTAACTATCTAACCTGCTTTTTTTTATTCCTATACATATATTTCGTTGATCAATTTATCAATATTCATTTTCTCTGTAGGACTTCTTCTCTTGTATTCAATGGTTTATTTCGTCCTCTTCATTGGATTTCCTAATTGATTTGATGTTTTTTACGTGGCTGATGATTGTCGATCTTTGGCGTACTGTATGTGCAGCGCTAGGGACCTGTGAGTCTGATGGATTGATTTAATTAAAACCCTATGGAACTTGTTTGAGGGTTTTATATATACTGGCCAAACGCTTTAAACCCCAAGTAGGGCAACTTAAAAATATCTCAGATATTTACACTCAACTTGACCATACTAAATGTGAGGTGAATATATATGAGTGTTGAGATAGTTACCTTGTGAATGGTATTCTTTGACAAGTAGTATATGTGAAGTTGGTGGTGGGCAGGTAAAATAGTAATTAATTTAGGGATGATGTTTGCTTCTCTTGTTTCTGTTTGTTTTATATATATGGTGTGGTGTGCATGCAGATGCAGATGCAGGGGCAGGGCCAGCCAAGTGACATGGAAAGAAGAGAAGGGGGTTGCTAATGCTAGCTGTACCCTACTAACATAAGCAAAGCTGTGGTGGTTGCTTAATTTGGTAGCCAGCTAATAAATCCCTCTCTCTCTCTCTTTCCCTTCTCTTCGATATATACCAGCCAAGAAGAAAAAAGGACAAGAAAAGATGAAAGCTCTTTCAGCGGCTTCTGGGTTCCTGGAGGAATGCATTGGGTGCGAGAGCTGTCTGGATCTCAACACTCATACCCAAGACCATCTGCTTCATCTCTTCCAGGCACCAGCAGCTCCATCGAATTGTGATATGGATAATCATGCTGCGGATAAGGAAGAGGAGAGAGCACATGATCATAGCAGCGATGACGTCATTGACAGCCGCTGGAGTGCGATGAAGGAGAAGAAGGCATGGAATTGGAAGGAGTATCCGCCGCCAATACCGTTGCTGGAAAGGAGGGACAAGTTGGCGTCATGGGTGCTAAAGAGGCACTACACAAGCGACGGGAGGCTGGTTCTGACCGAGGACAAAGCGTGTACGTGGGGGCAACACCACTACTTTAGGGCACACAGAAGCAAGGGTCGCCTCACTCTCACTCTCCACCTTCAACTCCATAACCATGATGATGATGATGATGATGATAGTAGTAGTGACGAGTTGGAGCCTTTGGGTTTGGGATGTGATGATTGCGAGGGTGAAGGAGGGTTTCACAGGAGGACTGGGATTGACGCAGCAGTCAAGTGTTTGAACAACAACAACAACAGCAGCAGTCAAATGAGGGCCAAGAGCATATTGTGTGTCCCTCTTGTGCCCACATTGAGGCCCCTTCTGGGTTAGTCCTCCAAATTGTCCAAGTAATTATTTGCATGTTTGAATTTTGAAAAAAAAAAATAGACATTTCTTCGTTCTTTTTGGCACTAGTGGGAGATGGGTCCCTTTCTTGTGTTGCTGTGTGATTTGGGATTTGTTGATGATGAATGAAAGGAGGGAGAGAGAGAGGGATAATTAGCTCGCTGCTCATGATACTCATATGTCTTCCTACATTAATTAGGGTCGTCTATCTCTCTGAGCCAACTGTATTCACAGCTCAACTCTTCAGAGTGGATTTCTTTTTGTGGGTAACATAACATTGCAACCAAATACAAAATGATATTTGAATCTTTAATTTCATTGTCAATTGTTCTATCGTCAAACCACAACGAACTATATAAATTATTTCCATCTACTAGCTAATTTCTACATTTCTATATTCTAGTTTATCAAGATGATAAAAAGTGTAAATTATTAGAGGAATTCTTTAAATTTTCACGATGACAATAATCGAAAGAGAAAATTAGTTATCAAAATATTTGCTTGTGATAATTGATTAGATTTGCTACTGCTAGTTGTCAATGCTGAAGTTGATAACATTTTAAGCAGAGAATCGATTTACCAACCTTTCACATCAAGTGAATTGAAATTGTGAATGATTATTTTGGCCGGATACATTAAGTGTGAAATCATGATAGTTTAGCCAATTTATATAGTTTTAGAATAAAATTATGGCTACGTACTCATCTGCATTTTCAACAACTATGACCGCACCGCCAATTCTTCCTATTGCACTCTCATTAAACCAAACTCTTCAAAATAATCATTAACCACACATTATGATGCATTTAAGAAGCCAAAGCATGGAGTACTTCGGGTTATGATCATAAACTCACAAAAAGATAAGAAATTAGGGTTTCTTGAAAAAAATTAAAGGATGAAAATGGCGGCGAAATAACTTTTCGGGACTATTCTTTGTAATACCATAGAAGAACTCGGTGGAGCAGAGAGGCTAGGGGAGCAACAAATGAGAGGGATTTCCATTGGCGACACAGAGAAAAGGCTCGCTGTTGAAACGCGACGAACATCCTTGCTCCCTCTAGAGAGAAGCTTATCTGTGTTACAAGTTAGTGGAGTGGACTGTAACTAACCTCTATTCATGTTAATTATGTGTGTTAACTATAGTTGTACCCATGTAAGGGTTTGCGACCGTGTATGCGGCCATGTATATATGTTGCGGTTGCATCTTGATGTAAGATTAAGGATTCTTGACGTGAAATACAATTGATTCGAGAGGTTTCTCTTCTCATTGGATTAGTCTCAACGTAAACTATTAAGAATAACACGTAAATTACGTGTTCTTCCTTCGTTCGATTGCTATTTTATCATGGTATCAAAGCCTCTTTGCAAATTTATGTTGTGAGTTGGCTCGATCTAGGTGTTCTTCGTTGTTTTCTGCGCTTGGTTGCTTCTTCTTGCTTATCGTGTGGTTATTCCCAGATTTTCTTCTCAGCTTGTTGCCTCTCGTTTTTGGGCGGTGAGTGCTTCTACTAATCTCTCTTGGTGGATTCAGTTCTCCTTTTTCTTTCTCGTTGTTCGCTTTGGTGGTCGCTAGCTCTTTGCAATCATATGGATGTCTCCAAGGTTGATGGGATTTCAACTCGGTTTAATGGGAAGAACTTCCCACATGGGATTTCAATTCCCTGTGTTTTTGCAAGGTTGTCGTTTGATTTCAATTCTCGATGGTACCAGCCTAAGCTTGCCGCAACAGCTTCGGATAAGGAAAAAGGGGATTGGGTGGCTAAAACACACAGGTTACTACTTGGATTCTCTCGTCCAATTAACCGCCTATTTCTCTTAGCCTCTACAGATTCACTAAGGTGCATGCTATGTAGCGCCATCTCACAGAGTTTCATCGCAGTCTAGTGCCTCCGCAAGTTTGAACATGAATTTGATCTTACTCGATGCATCAAGGTGACCTTGATATTCATTCATATTATCAGGAGGTTGTGACTCTTTGGAATGAACAAGATTTACTTACTTATTCTCTCGTGTCGACCACTGCTTCAGCCGAGGTCTTGTAGAAACATGCTAGCAGTAGTCTAATGCATTTTTTTTATGAAACTCCGCCCTGAGTTTGAAGGGATTCGTGCTTCCCTGCTTCATCGAAACATCACTAAGCTCGATGAGGTTATTGGGGAACTTTTCTGTGGGGAATCTCACCTTCATAGCCAAGCAAAGCGCAAGATTCAAGGGTCTTATTCATCTTTGGCCTTTGAGATTACTCCTGGTGCTCCTGACCCTGTTGTTGCCTCTTATGGTGCCTCCGCCTATGCGGTCAATTCCGATAAGCCCCAGTTTCATCATACTACCAACGGTGAAATTATTTGTCATTTTTTAGAGGACTGGGTCATATTCTTACTCATTGTCCCAAATGTAATGGCTGCAACTACTGTAAAACTTTGGGCCATAAAATTGGGGCTTGTCGAATTTTAACCAAGAAGGGACGTGCGCCCAAACCTAGAGGAGTTATGTCTGCTGTTGTTTTGTCTCATCCATGGCGGGCTTCCTCGTGTGCTGCTACTCCTCGTCCAGCGTATGCTACTACGATGGGTTCATTAGCTTTCTCGCCATCTGCGCTGATCACTCCAGATGATATCCAATAGATGGTACAAGAGGCCCTTCGCAATGTTCTTCCCTCCGCTTTGGGTTCGGTTTTTACTGCTGGTATGGATTCTTGTTCTCCCAATTCTTGGCATCTTGATTCTGCAACCTTTAACCACATTACTGGTTCTCGATCTTTATTTAGTCAGCTTCAATCTAGGTCCCCTATCAAGTTACGGGTGGCTGATGGCACGTGTCTGCCTGCTAAAGGCATTGGGGTTGTTCATTGTGATGGGCTGAATGTCTCGGATACTCTATATGTGCCCAAGCTTATTCCTAATCTTGCGCCTGTAGGGCAGTTAGCCGAGGATGGGTGTAGTATAATTATTATGCAAAAGGTTGTGTTGTGTAGGACATGAGAATAGGGATGTAAATCTGTCTTGGGACTAACAGAGGACATCTGGTCCATTACATGCCTTGTTCAAGGAACCCGGGATTCTAACTCAACAATCTTGTACTGGGGTCTCGCAACAGAACGGTGTGGCTAAGTGCAAGAGTCGTCATGTTTTGGAGCTCATGCGGGTTATCCTGTCCAGTCTTCTATGTCGAAGGGATTTTGGGTTGAGGCGGTGCATACTATTGTATATCTTATTAATCTCTCCAGGTCAATCCGGTCCTCTCTCAACGGAGTCCCTATGAAGCTCTCTATAAAAGGAAACCAAATTATGGTGAACTTCGTGTTTTTGGGTCTGTGTGTGTGTTATGTTCTTTTACCCCGCAGAAAACTTAACAAACTGGCCCCAAACGCGGTTAAATGTGCATTCGTGGGGTATAGTGACAAACATAAAGGTTGCCTATGTTATCACACTATTAATCGACGTGTTCGGATATCTTGTCATGTCACCTTTTCGGAGCATCTCACCTACTACATGATTAAGAATCTCGACTCTCGGCCTTACTTGTTTTTGCAGCCCCAGATCTTCTTTCATGACTCTCATATTGTTCATTTTCATGTCACTGAGGCTCGCCAGACTCCCCTTTGCTTACTTTTACTAGCAGATCCCGTATCCACGGGTACCTCCAAGTCTTCGTCCACCTCTCGCTCAGCTTCTTCCCATGCAGCCTTGGATGCTTCTGCCAATTATGCTTTGGCTCGGACCTCTTCTACAGACCCTACTCCTCGATGTTCATTGCGGGCTAACAAGGGTCTGCCGCCTCCTCGGTTGTCGGACTTTGTTTCTTTCTCGACTGCTCTGGTTCCCATTACTGCTACCTACAAGCAAGCTTGTGGTAAACGACACTGGGAAGAGGCTATAGCCATTGATACTGACGAATTAGAGGCCCAACATACATGGGACATGGTCCCTTCTCCTAGAGATCATCATGTTAACGGCTCGAAGTGGGTTTTCACAGTCAAGATGCTCCCTGATGGTTCTGTGGAACGCTTGAAGGCTCAGATTGTGGCAAAAGGTTTCGAATAGGAATTCGACATTGACTATGAATAATTTTCTGTCGGTATCCAAAATGCAAACGGTTCAGACGTTGTTCGTAGAGGTGACACGCTAAAACACAACACCAAACTGCGACCAAGTGTAATCGCAGTCCGGGAATGCAGTAAAGTAGCAAGTTCTAATGTCAACCCAGGGTCTAGATCTACTGCCTACTCCGTGATTATCTATTATCTAGCAAACTAAGTTGAGTGATTGTTGTTTTAACTAAAAGCAGTAAGAAAGCAGGAAATGGTTCGGTTTTCTAAAGCAAAGGAAGTGTCACTCGGGACCCTAGCTCCTTAGTTAGGTCTCAATTGTAATTACCCTGGGTTGATTTACTGTTGATTAAACTGCGGAAGATCCGACAGTAGCTTGGAATCTCTTAAGCTGACCAAGCCCTCTCAGTCAAACTACCCGGCAGACGACTAGTCTTCACCGGAATAAAAAGCTGAGGCTATGAACACAGAACTCCACTACTGGAATTGGATTCCAGTACAAAGCAGTAGATTTAATAACTCTAGTATAACCAATCCACTACTACCGAATGATGTAGCTCTAACAACCTAATCAGATTCTATCTATCTCAGGTTACAGCAGAAATCAAGAAAAGCTGATCAGACTTCAATTAATTCAATGAATCATGCATCATTCGATTATAATCAAGCAGTATAACAATCCCAAGTCATTACAATCAAGATC